CTCTCAGTGAAGGGGATAGTCGTAAACAAACAAACAAACATTTTGCCTTCACTTCCTTCATTCGTCTGGTAAAAAACACTTTGATGAATGAAAAGCTCCTGAAAATGGGATTACTTGAAGATTAACTACCCGAACGCTGCCTGGGGGATTAGGTTAGGTTTGCGTTAGGTTAGGAGGCTTATGGGATTTGGTTTTACAAAAGTGGTGTTAGGTTGGGTGAGCAAGCAGATTAGATTTAGTATTAGATTAGGTTAGGCTAGGTTAGGTCTCATTAGTTAGATTTGTTAGGTTAGTGGGGAGGTTAGGTTAGGTTAAAAGCAGATTAGGGTTAGGTTAGGTCTGGTTAGTGTTAGATTGCTAGGGGTTAGGGTTGGTCTGGTGGTGTTAGATTTGTTGAAGCTAGTTAGGTTAGGGCTTGGTTAGCTTTGCTAGGTCTGGTTAGTGTTAGATTAGGTTAGTTAAAGTTAGGTTAGGTTAGTGGCAGTGTTGTGTTAGGTTGTTAGGCTGGTTAGTGTTAGTTAGTGTTAGGTTAGGTTAGGTTAGGTCTGGTTAGTGTTAGATTAGGTTAGGTTAGTTAGGTTAGGTTAGGTTAGGTCTGGTTAGTGTTAGATTAGTTAGGCAGAGGCTAGGGGTTAGGTTAGTCTGTTAGTGTTAGGTTAGGTTAGGTTAGCTAGGTTAGGTTAGGTCTGGTTAGGGTGTTAGATGAAGTTAGGGTTGGGGTGGGTTAGTCCTGGTTAAAAGACAGTTAGGTTAGTTTAGGTTAGTTAGGCCAGGGCCAGGCCAGGCCTGGTTAAAAGTAGATTAGGTTGCTAGGTTAGTCTGGTTAGTGTTAGACAGGGGTTAGGTTAGGTTAGGTTAGGCTAGGTCTTGCAGTGTTAGATTAGGGTTAGGTTAGGCAGGTTAGCTGGGGTGTGTGAGCCTGTAGATCATCCCATAAATATACTAGTGTATATGTTATGTCAGGATTTTTTATATGTTTGATTTATAGTTAGAGAGACAGAGTACAGGGAAAGAGTTAGAGACAGAGTGCAGGGGAGGAGTACAGTTAGTGCAGGTACAGGGAGGAGTACAGTTAGGAGACAGAGTACAGGGAGGTACAGTTAGGGTTAGTACAGGGAAGAGTACAGTTAGATTAGAGTACAGGGAGGGAGTACAGTTAGGGTTACTGAGTGCAGGGAGAGTACAGTTAGAGACAGTACAGGGAAGAGTACAGTTAGGGGTTACTGAGTACAGGAGAGTATAGATAGTTAAGCAGGTACAGGAAGTACAGTTAGGGTTACTGAGTACAGGGAAGAGTACAGTTAGAGAGACAGAGTACAGGGAGGAGCATAATTAGAGTTACAGAGTACAGTTAGAGTTACAGAGTACAGGAAGGATTACAGTTAGGGTCACTGAGTACAGGGAGGAGTACACTTAGAGTTATAGAGTACAGGGAGAATTACAGATAGTTACAGAGTACAGGGAAGATTACAGGTAGGGTTACAGAGCACAGTAAGGGTTAAGATGTCTCTCACAGCTGACTCTCAACTTCTCAAACTTTTTAAATCGAATCCTTATGAGAGTTTCCTTTGAGACGGCGGTGTTAGCGGGGTCTTGGTCGTACCTGGCTTATTCGTGGTTGGCCTTGGTCGTACATGGCTTATTCGTGGCTGGCCTTGGTCGTACATGGCTTATTCGTGGCTGGCCTTGGTCGTACCTGGCGTTTTCGTGGCTGGTCTTGGTCGTACATGGCTTATTCGTGGCTGGTCCTGGTCGTACATGGCTTATTCGTGGCTGGCCTTGGTCGTACATGGCTTAATCGTGTCTGGTCTTAGTCTCGTACCTGGCTTTTTCGTGGCTGGTCTTGGTCGTACCTGGCTTATTCGTGTCTGGCCTTAGTCGTACCTACCCTTAGTCGTACCTATACTTAGTTCTAACAGACCTGGTCGTTCTTAACCACTCCAGGTAGCAGCGTTGAGTGTTTAATTACTCATCAGGTGAAATAGGTCAAAGATGCATATATTATACTGATCCTTCTGTTATAGTCGTCAGTCTTAATATATCCTACACACTTTTGGTCAAACATGTTCAAGTGTGTTAGAGTGTGTCACAGTAAAGACACACTAAAAGATCCTATGTATTTTAGCTGTCACTCTCAATATTTCCTATCCACACTTTAGTCCAATATAATTCAAGTGCGTTACAATAAAGACAAACTGAAGTGATTTTTTTTTTTAGCTGTCACTCTCAATATTTCCTATCCACTTTGGTCCAATATAATTCAAGTGCGTTACAATAAAGACAAACTGAAGTGATTTTTTTTTAGCTGTCACTCTCAATATTTCCTATCCACACTTTGGTCCAATATAATTCAAGTGAGTTTTAATAAAGATTACACTCAAAACACCACACACTTGGACTTGGGAATGAAATATTGTGGCCAGGAATGATCATGGGTGGTTTAAAAGATCGTAAAATATGCCTGGAGTGTTCATGCCTCCGGGTTTTATTGTTTACTGCGGTACGTCAAGTCTGATTGTGTTTCCTCATAAAGTTTTGTCCCCGACGGTAATGTGTGAGCGACTGCAGTGGTGGCGTCTGCGATGGGTATGGCGGATAGCAGGTTGTGTGTGTGTGTGTGTGTGTGTGTGTGTGTGTGTGTGGTTAGGTCACGTACATACAGAGGCGAGGTGGGTCTTGGTCTTCCCATTAAATGAAAACAAATAACGAAACGCCACTGCAGGTAAAAGATGTGTGAGTATTTGTGTGGTTTTTTTTTTGTTTCCGCCAACACACGTGATACAGGTAAACGCCAGACGCTGCTTAATGCTTCCCTGACACTAGTTTATGGGTACGGGTTTCCTATGACTTGGTGGATCGTCGTGGCGGGGAAGTCATTGTTACCAGACACGGGTGAGAAAACACAAGTTAAGGAAGAAAGTGTTTTCAAGCATCGTGTTGGGGGGAGGTGGAGGTGAGAGGTGGTGGGAGGTGAGGGGAGGTGAGGAGAGGTGAGGTGAGGTGGGAGGTGGGAGGTGTGGGGGAGGTGGAGGAGAGGTGGGAGGTGGGAGGTGAGGGAGGTGGAGGAGGTGGGAGGTGAGGTGGGAGGTGTGGTGTGGTGAGGTGGAGGTGAGGTGGAGGTGAGGAGGTGGGAGGAGGTGGGAGGTGAGGTGAGGTGGTGTGGTGGTGAGTTTAGGATGTGAGGTGAGAGGTGTGGTGAGGAGAGGTGGTGTGGGTGAGGTGAGGTGGTGTGGTGTGTGGTGAGATGAGGTGAGGTGAGATGTGTGGTGAGAGGTGTGGTGTGGTGTGGGAGGTGAGATGTGGTGTGGTGGGAGGTGGGAGGTGAGGAGGGAGGTGAGGTGGTGAGGTGGTGGAGGTGGGAGGTGAGGAGGTGTGGTGTGGTGAGGTGGGAGGTGGGAGGTGAGATGTGTGTGGGTGAGGAGATGTGTGGTGAGGGAGGTGGGAGGTGTGGTGAGGTGAGATGAGGTGAGAGGTGTGGTGTGGTGTGGTGAGGTGAGATGGTGAGGTGGGAGGTGAGGGAGGTGAGGTGTGGGTGGAGGAGATGAGGTGAGAGGTGTGGTGTGGTGGTGAGGAGATGGGGGGGGGGGGGAGAGGGAGGTGGAGGTGAGGTGTGGTGGAGGTGAGATGTGAGGTGGGTGGGTGGTGTGGTGAGGAGAGTGGGGGAGGGAGGGAGAGGAGGTGAGATGAGAGGTGTGGTGTGGGTGGAGAGAGGTGGGGAGGTGAGGTGGTGGTGAGGTGAGAGAGAGATGTGAGGTGAGGTGAGGTAGATGAGAGGTGGTGTGGGTGTGGTGAGGTGAGGTGTGGTGTGGTGAGATGAGATGTGAGGTGAGAGGTGAGGTGAGGTGATAGGTGGTGAGAGGTGAGGTGTGGACCAACTTTATGTTTTTACTGCCGGCAAAAGGGAGAGCGAGAGCGGGGAGGTGTTTTGGCCGTGGTAGTGAGGGTTTGGTGGTGTGGTAGTGTGGTAGTGTAGTAGTGTGGTAGTGTAGTAGTGTGGTAGTGTGATAGAGTGGTAGTATAGTGGTGTGGTAGTGTAGTAGTGTGGTAGTGTGATAGAGTGGTGGTTTGGTAAGTGTGGTAGTGTGGTAGAGAAGAATGAGGTCAAACACCCTAACGATACTTGGGTGGGATTAGGTTAGCTAACATAAACATGACACACACACACACACACCAAGCAGAGGTGGTGGTGTGTGTGTGTGTGTGTGTGTGTGTGTGTGTCGGGTAATCCATCATGTTACTGCTCTCCTGCTTCACCCAATCACAGCCTCCATCCCTCCCTCCCTCTTTCCCTCCCTCCCTCTTTCCCTCCCTCCCTCCCTCCCTCCTTCTCTCCCTCATTGCTGTGGTGGAGATCTCGGGTCACCACCACAAACATCAAGGAAGAAAACACTAAATTTGTCGTATGTTAATGAGTTCACAACCCAGGACCATAAAACACCATTAATCGAAGGAGTGAAATTAGGAGGAGGAGAAGGAGTAGGTGAGGGATGAAGGGAGGAAGGAGAGAGGAAGAGAAGGAGGGAAAGAGGAAAAGGATAGTGGGAAGGATGGAATGGAAGAGGAAGAGAAGGAACGGAAGAAGATGAGGAGGAAGGGAGGAGGAAGAGGAAAAGAAGGAAGGGAAGAAAGTGATAGATGGAGGAAGAGGGGAATGGAAGTAGGTGGCAGATGGAGGGAGAGAAAAGAAAGGAGGAAGGGAAGGAGATGAAGGATGGAGGAGGAAGTGGAGAATGGGAAGGAGGAAGGGAAGAAGGTGAAGGATGGACGGAGAAGAGGAGGAACAAACGGAAGGAGGTGGAATAGAGGAAGACGAAGAATGGAGAGTGAGGTAAAGAAAGAAAAGGTGGAAGGAAGAGAAAAGAAGGAAAGGAAGGAGGTGACGGACGGAGGGAAACAGGCAGAAAGGCATAATAAACGTTCGCCTGGCGTTAGGGATTCAAGTCACCACAGGCAGAAACGTATAGTAAACGTTCGCCTGGCGTTAGGGATTCAGTACTCACCGTGCCGTATGGAGTGAGTCCTCTCGTGTTAGGGGGAGATAGACCTTTCTCTGAACACTCCGCCCTGAGGAGAGAACAAGATACATGAGAGAGAGAGAGAGAGAGAGAGAGAGAGAGAGAGAGAGAGAGAGAGAGAGACATACGTTATTAATTGAATTTTTTTATTCACTGAAGTAAACTTGTAATTAAAAAAGTTTTCTGAGAGTGTGTGAGAGTGACTTGCCGGATGTGTGTGTGTGTGTGTGTGTGTGTGTGTGTGTGTGTGTGTGTGTGTGTGTGTGTGTGTGTGTGTGTGTGTGTGTGTGTGTGACTTACCAGGTGTGTCTGTGTGTGTGTACCAGGTGTGTGTGTGTGTGTGTGAGTGACTTACCAGTGTGTGTGTGTGTG